GAGAAAGGTGAATGGAAAGAGGGAGGAAGGGAAGAAGGAAGGAAGAAATGGAAGGAAGAAAGAAATGGAAGAATCATCTGAGCACAAAGGTGACGCTTCATAGTCACTTAACGCATACAGTGTCCCTATCTGCAGGTTAACAGATAAACTGTGGCACAGAGAGATTAAGTAACTTTCCCAAAATCACACAGTTGGTATGTGGCAGAGCCAGGATTCGAACACCGGCAGATTGGCTCCAGAGTCCGTGATCTTAACTCCTGGGCTCCACTGCTTAACAGGATGGGAGGTCGGCCAGAGCGGCTCTCTGTGTGAGCTGAGAGAGAGTTATTTTAAAAGTTTTTTATTTATTTATTTGACAGACAGAGATCACAAGTAGGCAGAGAGGCAGGCAGTGGGGTTGGGGGGGAGCAGTCTCCCCGCTGAGCAGGGATCCCAATGTGGGGCTCAATCCCAGGACCCTGGGATCATGATCTGAGCTGAAGGCAGAGGCTTTAACCAACTGAGCCACCCAAGCGCCCAGAGAGACTTATTTTAATAAATCAGACATAAAGTTTTCCAGGATCTCTCTAAGCCTCACATCACAGCAGTGTGGAGAATTGGAGCGGAGAAAATTTCATAGTATTTTAAACTTTCTTGGAAGTGTAACAGAGATCTACCTGAGTCCAGCCCAGCATGGCCTTGCCAGCAGCCCTCAATCCCTCCAAACCACTTTACTAGCCCTTTGCCAAAAGGCTTTTCAGTGCTTGGTCAGATTTAGATACTAATGTTTAACAGAAACTATTTAGGTATTAGAGAATAATCAACGCAACTTTGTTCAAATTGGCCTCAATACAATATGCAGTCTGAAATAGCAAAGTGACATGTGAAAACACACACATCTGTCCCCTTTCCATACGTCTTTAGCTCTGAAATTCGATCTCAGCAAATCTCGTGCACACTCACGCTTTGATCCAGGGCTCCACATCTGAGCCAGAATGAAATATCGCATTTCATTCATAAAAGACATGATTAAAACAGACATTCAGTTACGCTGGGAAACCACACATTTCCCTAGGCTGAAAAACAGTGTTTTATTTTAAGAGATGGTATATACAAATGGACAATAGCCAAACCAAATGTAATAATTAAACTCCGACACACCACCTTGCAGCAGTCAGGACACAGAGCCAGACCATGGCCTCTGCAGTCATCAGCCCAGAAAGGTCTGAACTTGGCGCAGGACTGCCTGTGTCCCTTTTTATCGCCTCTGCTTCCAGCTCAGGGCCAAGCAGGAAAAGTCATCACATAAGATGCTCACTCCTTGTTAACCTGCCTCTGGCCTCTGCATGCAGCAACCTCTGACCCAAGCAGACCTGAGCCTTCCCTGCTTTCCACTAAGGCTCCCCCACTCCAGCTTGCCCTTGAGTCTCCACCAGACGCAAGTGATGGTGACTGACTCCCTGGGCATAGCCTCTGTGTGTACTCATTCGGGTAACCCACAATTTCCGTGCATTTCTCCCTGGCCATGAAATGAAGCGTGCTATAAGGAGCAATCCTGTCTAGGAAAGCATGAAGATAAGCAACTGCAGGCTGGCCTGGAAAAGTTCGATAGGTGGAGACTGGTCCCCATCTAGACGTGCAGAACAACCCAGAAGAGTGGTTTCAAGTGGCACCTCCTGATGCGCGAACGCAGACCAGGCCCCAAAACCAGTGCCTCCCCACCCCACGACTTCAGCAAGCAACTCCCAACCTTTCCAAGTCTGCTTCCACATCCACAGAACCGACATGAATAACACTTCATTTGGTGCCCCGCGTATAAATAAAGGGTTCACGCAGAGCCCGGCACGGGGACACACAAAAATGTAAAGCGTGAGGGTCTCCTGGGTGACTCAGCCCCTCAAGCATCAGACTTGATTTCCACTCACGACATGATCTGAGTCGTGAGACTGAGCCCGGTGCTGAGCCTGGGGCCTACTTAAGATTCTCGCCCTCTGCCCCTCCCCCACCCCCCGCTCAAGCCCTCTCTCTAAAACAATTAATAACACAATTTTTTTTAAAAAAGTAAACCTGCATTAATTGTATCAATTCATACATCATAGCGCCCTAATGCATCAACTATAGTAAATAACTGCATCACTTCGCACCTCAGTGAACCAGGCCCTCTCCTGCCCTAATTCCCTAAATGATGCCAGTGGCAACGGGGCAGTCTCACTGCCTGGGATGCCGCCGCTGGTCGTCTGGGCTCCCCCGACACACACAGGGAACGCGGTGGTGACACCCGCCTTCGGGGATGAGACTCTAGCCCCTCTCTTTAGCATCGCATCCCCCTTTTCTCCAACAGTAGGTCAGGAGCCTCACAAGACAAGCGCCCGCAGGAGCCGGAGGATGACCCAAGGGGGAGAGGAAGGCCGGTGTGCGACACTGCGGATGTCTGGGGGTGGCGGGAAACCAGGCAGGGCGCAACGCATCTTTCACCACACCCAACCCCAAGGTTAGAGGATGGCCGCGCTCTCCAATCTACGCGGGAATGCCAAATGAGCTGACACGCATGCGCATGCGCATGCGCACGCGCACGCACACACGCACGAAACCCCACGTATGCACGCGTACCTCCCCATGTATGTGTGCGCGCCCACACACCCCTGCGCATGCGCGCGCGTGCACGCCCCCACGCATGCACGCGCCCCCTCCCACACATACACGCGCATGCGGCCTGGATTTCACCATGGCCGATAGTGCAGACTCTAGGCCAGATAGATGCTTGTCCTCCAGGGCAGCACCAAGGCTCCACAACTGCAGTTGAAACAAAGGTGTGCGAACATTCCTCGGGTTGACCCGCCTCCTCGTGGTCCCTCTGCATCTCCTGCCCCGCAGCATCAGAGCCCACGTGGGAGCAGAAAGGCCCAGGAAACTCTCCCCAGGAGGACGCCCTGAGAGCGCTGAAACCAAGAAGGCCGGTGGCTGCTTCTTCCTACTCCTTCCCTGGTGCTGACAGTCCGTATTTGACCTCCCCGGGCCGAGTCCGAGCGAGAGCCCACTTCAGCTCTCACATCAGCTTCCGCGGGAGGGAACCGGACTCAGGGGTTTCTGCCCCGCACCACGGTGACACCGCGGGGCCTCTCCAGTCTCCATGTGGGGGCCTCTTCCTGCCTCCTCGGCCTCCCCCTCCCTAAATTAGCCCCCAACCTCTGGCATGGCTGCTGGGGGCACACAGCCTGGGTGCCGCAGCTGCCCCTCCTGTTCTCCAGCCAGGAAAGGGGCTGCGAAGGAATGAAGGGCCCCTAGAGCCTTCCCAGAGCCGGACCACCTGCATGCACACCCCCTGCTCCCGAGCTGTGCAGCCTTGGGCAAGCTACGGAACCTCACTGTGCCTCAGAAAAATAGGGATAATATTAGTACTCCCCTCCTCGGATTGTTCATTGTGGAATTCAGTGACTTACTGCATGTGAACAACGTAGAAACGTGGCCTGGACCATTCTCGGTCTTCGGTGAAAGTTAGCTAGTACCATTTATACCATTTCCCTGGCCGGAAATGCCTTTTCCAACCTGGCTGCAGCACTTCCCTGACCACCAGACCATCTGTTCTCCCTTTCCCTAAACTTCTCACCCAGCAATGTTCTCTCTACACCAAGGATGGCCAATAAGTTAAGTGTCAACCACGCCATCTTACAGGAACATGTAGGGGCTGCCAGGAGTCCTGGACTCGATGCTATAACTGATTAACGATGTCTGCCATCGCAGAGGGAGTGCTGGAGCACTGCAGTCGATTAACGATGTCTGCCATGGCAGAGGGACAGCTGAAGCGCTGCAGTAGATTAATAATGTCTGTCCATGCAGAAGGCACGCTCAGTGGTATGAGTGCAGAATTCATACCTTTGCCATTCTTGGTCTAGAGCAAGCATCTGGCACTGCCTTCTATGGAAGGAATCTCTGCAGAGCAAGATCAGGGCTTTGGACCATCCCAACCCCACCACTGGAGTGATTAGCACAGGGCTGGGTCCAAACTAAGTTTTGGCTCAGTTATCACCAAAACTAACTCCAGAGGCTTCAAACGGGAACTGGGCTTCCTGCTGGTTTCTAAACCCACTGTGGGAGCCTCGGTATCCTATTGCAGGCCCCGAACGAACACACTTTCTGGCACATCGGCCTCCCTTAGAATCAAAGGGACTACACTGGACTTATGATTAATTCCGCCTTCTCACCTGCAACCAGAAAAACAAGGCTCACTTACATGGCACCACCACCTCAGCATCTGAGAGCCGGGAAAACCACCACAGGCTAACACTCGGGGAGGATGCTGTTCCAAGACCTTCACCAAGTTGACTGATCCTCACAGCAATCCAAGACATACAGCCCATCGTAATTCCCATTTCACCCATGAAGCCCAGAGAGGTTAGATGACTTGCCCCAGGGCACACAGCTGCTATGGGCAAAGCCACTGCTGCATCCCACTGCAAAGCTTTGTGAGCAAAATAAGCTAAATGCAGGTTTGCCCCCCTAGCACAGACTAGTAACGTACTTTTTCCAACCCTAAAACTGCATCGTTGTCATACCAAGACTGCTTATTTACCTTACCAAAGGATTCTTTACTGATTCTTCACTTTGATGAAAACCTGAGCAGTCAGACACATTGTCTTAGAAGGCTCTTTCCTGTAGTTGGAAAGTAGAATTCATTTACAAAGTTTCAACTTACAGGCAGCAAGTCCAGGCCGGCAGTGACGGGTTCAGAGTGTCACTGGAGAGCTTACCTGTCAGCCCAAAAATCTGCTCTCAGAGCACTTGTTCCTGATCCTAGCTTCACAACAGAATGACTTGGGAGCTTTTAGGGAATACAGATGCCCAGGGCCCATGCCCAAATACCCTGTTTCTCGACTGTGCCATCTTGCATGGGTCTCTATTCCGTGTTTGTCAGTTTCCTCTCAACATGGGATACTCAGCAAATCAGCAACACCACATAACTGCCAATTCACTAATGACCAAAAGTTGATTTCTACTCCACCCAACCCAGCAAAGCCACTTACCTAAGAGTGAAGTGGTCTGCCACAGAGCTGCTGGTCAGAGAGACCAAAAAGGTGGCCGTGTCCCCTTCCCGGACGAGGTTCAGGGGTACTGAGATGACAACGTTCTCATCCAGGCTCACCAGGGACCACTTCAGATCATCTTGAGTTGGGTAGACCACCACACTCCCAATCCTCTCCCGGGCTGGAGGCACCGGCTGGGGGCTGTCCTGGCCGGAGTGGATGTTGTTCTCCCATTTGCCCTCCTCCTCCAGTGGACACTGGCCAGCCTGGTCAGCAGGGTAGAGCGTAAAGAAGAGCTCCATCGCGGTGCCCCCCAGGAGGGCCGGGATCTCCTCCTCAGGCTCCAGGTCCAGCCCAGAGCTGAACCACTCAGGCAGCAGCTCCAGCTCAGCCACACACAGCCCCGGGTCCCCTTGCAGCCGACAGCTGGCCGCCACTTCCCTGGCCTCGGGGAAGGCAAACATCTTGACACACGGTAGATTTTCCTCGGGGTCACTGTCGTCCCAGTCCATCCCAGTGATGTAAAACAAGGTCTGCACTTTGGGTCTGTTGGAGTAGATGGAGCTGTCCAGGATGTGGGATTTCAGCTTCCAGTTGAAGGGAAACTTCTCCACATTTCCAAAGGCTGGGGAAGTCAACAAGAGCTCCTGGGGGATTGTCTTCTCCGCTGAAAATGGGCCATAGCTGGCATTGATGGTCGGGGGGGTCCTGGCCCGGTAGATAAAGAATGACTCCACCCGCGCCTGCAGACTGGAGTTCCTCGTGACGTCCTGGTTGGCTTCCTTAAGGAAGAAGGCCTCTTCCGCGTCGGCAATGTGGAAGCTTGTGGGCAGATAGGCGGGGAGTGAGGAAAACCTCTGCAGACTATCCACGATCCCTCGGCTCTCGGTCTCTGTGCAAGAAAGGAAAGGAAAGGAAGAATAAAGGGCAGGCCCTGCAAAGCCAGGAAACCAACACAATGCAGTCTGCACCCACCACCCCAGCAAACCACCCCCAGCCACACTGGGCCTCCCCTGACCTCAGCACAGGGTTCTACGGGAATCTTCCAAACCAGTCACTGTGGAGTGGGCAGGAGCTCATTTACCACTGATCCAATAGTCTGTGTGTGCACAGTCCCCCCCCCACCCCACCCAAGGGAAAACATCCCCTCCACCTGCTCTCCAAAGACCCAAGTTCAGGGGATCACAGCCCTCTTCACTACGTCGCCCCACAGAGAGGAGGCTGCATGCCTGCAAAGACCACCCGAGCCAGCAATCTGCCATCGTACAGGACTTGCTACTGCTTCCTTGTTAAATAGTTACACTTCTTCCCGTCCCTCCCAGACGCGGTGTCTACAAAGACATTCAGACATCTCTGTGATTCTGATTGAAAGGAGGGTGAAGCTATGGCTCGGCGTCCCCACTTCTAGAAAGCTCGCCTTCTGAAATCTTAGCGGGAGTGCACAGGGACTGATCTGTCTACAAGGATGTTCCCCGCAGCATCATTGTTGAATTGCACACAAACTTGGGAGTGCACATGCGAGAGCCAGAATCCCTCTCTGTGGCTTCCTAACCGAGCCACTTGAGCGAGCTACTTTAACCTCTCTGAGCTTCAAACGTCCTCATGTAGCGTAGGATGTAAATGTAACTTCTACCTTATTGGGTTATTGTAAGGAGTAACGAGTTAGTAATACAAAGCTTTCAGAACAGTTCTGACACACCCGTAAATATCCACCAGTCGTGCTATCGTTACTAGCATTACTATTTCTGGTTGAAACATTCTAAAGGTTTATCAAAAGGAGACCAGATAAACTATATGTTTTTATAGTGGGATAACAGGCAGCTGTAAGAAAAATGAAGTAGAGCTACATGGACATACTTGAAAAAACGTCCACAATATGCCACTAAGTATAAAAAATTATAGGGGCGCCTGGGTGGCTCAGTGGGTTAAGCCGCTGCCTTCGGCTCAGGTCATGATCTCAGAGTCCTGGGATCGAGCCCCACATCGGGCACTCTGCTCAGCAGGGAGCCTGCTTCCTCCTCTCTCTCTGCCTGCCTCTCTGCCTGCTTGTGATCTCTGTCTGTCAAATAAATAAATAAAATCTTTATAAAAAAAAGTATAAAAAATTATAAATTATATGGGTGCCTGGGTGGCTCAGTGGGTTAAGCCTCTGCCTTTGGCTCGGATCATGATCTCAGGGTCCTGGGATCGAGCCCCACATCGGGCTCTCTGCTCGGTGGGGAGCCTGCTTCCTCCTCTCTCTCTGCCTGCCTCTCTGCCTACCTGTAATCTCTGTCTAATAAATAAATAAAATCTTTTTTAAAAATTATAAATGATAAATGTATCCTCTATAATCCTACTTAGATTTTTTAAGGTTCTGTAGGTATGTGTATATAAATGTACATATAATTATGTTTGTGTGTCTATAGAACCAAAGAGAAAGGGTTTCACTTTTTGACATCTACATTTCTACTTTCTTTACATTTTTACAACTATATATTATTTTGTTACTTAAAAATATATATATAAATGTGTAGATGTGTGTTTGTATACATATATGTATGTGCGTGTTTCTTTCAAGCAGGAAAACACAGACCCAACAAGCTTTTTCAAACTAAAGAGAGTCCACCAGGAACCAGGGTTGGTAAATCAGGCTAGGAACACACAGGGCTCTTCCCTGCCCCGAAATAATAAATCTCCAGCCCTAGAGCCAGCACAAGAAGAAATGCAACCAGGCAGCAGTGTTTGAGATGTAGCATTGCTAGAGGATAAAAGGTAAATATATACCAAACCGTAGACCCTAACTCCTGGCAAGTTTTTTTTCCCGCAGCCATTACAAATTCTGCAAAAAATACTTCTCTATTGATATAATTTGGGGGGTCCCTTTTCAGGGCTGTCCTTGAGATTTCCTTGTCCAAAGCTCTCCTTGCCCAGAGGATGACAAAATTGTAATTAGGAGATTGGGGAAAAGATACAATCGTAGAGGGCCTGATGCATCATTGCTCAGAGAAGGTGTTCAGAAAGCAAGTTCACCACAAAATACTGCATGATCTCACTAGCATGTGGAACCTAAAATAGTCAGATTCTTAGAAGCAGAGAGCAGGATGATGATTGCCAGGGGCTGCGGTTGGGAGGGGGAGTGGGAAGGTGTTGGTCAAAGGCTACAAAGTTTCGATCATGCAAGATGAATAATCTCTGGATGGCTAATGCAGGGCACCTGACATAGTTAACAAGCCTGTATTATATGCTGTAATGTGCTAAGAGGATGGATTTTCAATTAAATCGAAACACACACACACACACACACACACACACACACACACACACACGGTAGCTAGGTAGAAGTAATGAATATGTTAATTAGCTTGGTTGTGATTATGTAGACATGAGTACTTCTATCAAAATATCAAACTGTACCTCTTAAATATATACACTTTTTATATGTCAGTATCTCAAGGAAGGAAGGAAGGACGGAAGGAAGGGAGGGAGGGAGGGAGGGAGGAAGGGAGGAAGGATCTTTTCAAGTGTCACCAATATGGCCAGTCCTTGTCAGATTAATTATTGGAGAAGCAGGGTTATTACCCATCCACTCCTCCGATTATCTATCTAGCTATATTTACCACTCATCTGTCTTATTTCCAGCACTGTGGCACATAGGGCTATCACAGGGACAAGACAGATGTGATTTCTACCCCCAAGGAGCTGGCACATCTAACATACATGAAGCAATTAGGGAACCAAACATTAACACCTTTAAAAATGTCCATCCCAGAACTCCCCACCTAGCAGTCAAGCTCGGGAAATAATCCAGAGACCAGGAAGGAGACCAATGTGCAAGTAGGTTCGTCACAAGCGTGATTTATCAAGGCAACATGCCAGAAGGAACCTAAAAGCCCATCGCAAGGGAAGTGACTGAGTAAATGAGGAAAGCCATACTGTGTGTGTGACCTCGAGCAGTCAACAGCACCATGACTTCAACAAACATTGAGGATCATGAGAAAATGCTTATGACATGGTGGGGAAGAAGCAGACATCAAAACTCTATTTAAACTATCCCAAATCTGTTTAAAATATATACACATAAGCACAAAATACGTACTATACTATACATACTATATATTGACTTTCATGATACAGACACACGTTTCCTCCAGAATGTATCCTATGAGTTGGGTAGGATTTGGAGGAAACACAGAGTGGGGGCAGAAATGATTTTGAAGAATTAGCCTCATCTAAAGAAAAGTTTTAGCTACTGCCGCCACCAAGGGGCAATTTGTATTTTGACAATGTCAAGCTATGCAGAAGCACCATCCCATATGAAATTTAAATTAGTTTTTCTGTTGGTTTATTTCCCCTCTCCAAACCAGGAATTGCAATTCTAGGTGAATCTGACCATGAAATAATTGGCAACAAGGGAACATCTGCCTTGAGCAGCATGATAGCACCCTTCAGCGGAGCAAAGTGGGCGCCCAGCTGACCAGACTTGGGAAGAGGTGGGGCCAAATTTCACCTTCTGACAAAATGCAGGGGAACCCCAAGGCAATGTTTAAATTCTGACTTATTTATAAATGTGGAAAAGGAAATTAAAATTATGCAGAGTTTAATATGCCCTGTTTTCATTGTGCATCAGTTCATTTTTTTTAGCATTTATGTCAATATTTTATACAACTCAAAAATTGATTCACAAGAAATTTAAAGCTGTGCCTCCTCTCTTGTTTATTGTGGCTAAAGCCTGCATTTTATCTGAAATAACAGTGTGAGGTTTACAATCCTGCCCCACCATAACTCAAGCAAAATGCAGTACAAATTCTGTCTGAGAGCTTATATAGGAAGCCGTAAACATCAGCAGCCAGGGCCTCATTTTGTCCTCGAACCAGGCTGCAACAAAATATGATATCCAAATTTAGGAGTATTTTATAAAGCCATGGGACTGTGTGCTGAGAAATACACCCATGGCCTGAGAAGCTACGACCCGTCCCTCTGATCCCCAGACATCATATAGTGGCCCCATTCTTTTTCCTGTTGGCAGGTAGACCATGTGGCCCGAACTAAGGAGACCCTATTCAGTCTACTGGCTTCCAAGAGAACTATTCACCACCCCGTCCAGAGGAGGCGGGCCCTGAGAGCATGAAATGAGGGAGTCTTAGGAGGCCCAGATGAACAGCACTTTCATCACTGTGCTCCTTATGAGCCAGAAAGAGAGTCAAGCTCAGGTTCATCGAGAACACAAGGTGTGCGGGAGGGACGCTGTGCAGCTTGGGTGGGGAACCCTCCAGAATGAAGCAATCCACAGGGCACAGGGCATGGAGAGGGGAACCCTGGCAGAGTTCACTAACATCGCCAGCCCAGCGTAGTAGCTAGTTACCAATCTTGTGGCTACCGGTCACCCACCAAAGGGTAACGGCCTGGACAGTTCTGCAGCTGAATCTCTTTTTCTAATTCCCACAAGAAAAGCCAGGCCTGCACAGCCAGGTGTAGGAGGCTTTCTAGGGGGCCAGGAGGCCAAAGTCTTTGAAAAACACCAGCAAGACACATTCCTCACTGATCTGTGGAAGTGTGGCCCTAACACCTGGTAATTCTCAATCCGGGCTGTGCAGGAGATACACAGGGTAGGAAACATAAGAATCATCCCTGGTGGGTATGAATCAAATCATACCCACCAGTTTGATTTAGATGGCCTCAGGCGGGGCTGATTGTCTCTGTGTTCCCTAGATGACTCCACTGAACAGCAATGATACCACGGAGAAGATAAGAGCTGCTTTGTGTCTACCCAAAAATCAAGTCATCCATTGCCTTGGGGGGGGCAAGTGTTGGGTCATACGCAACAAGTTCATTAAGGATTAGCTAGGACTATAAATTACAGCAAGAGGAAAACATAAAATATAGAGATGTCACCACTTACATAATCCTTGCAACATACCACCTTACAGGGAGCGACCCTTCGTCTTCCCAATCGTTTGGTTAAGAGGATTTGATTATTGTCCCCAGCCGTAGATGGGGAAACTGAGGCATGGAGGGGTGATTCTGTGACCTGCCTAAGATCACACAGCCAGTAAGCAGCAGAGGTGGGATTCCGTGCAAGCTGGCCAGCTCCGGGCAGAGCTCGGCAGCCACCACGTTCTGCTGCCACAGGAAAGCTCGGCAAGCAACATCTACCCCGGGAGAGCTCGAGCCATGACTCAGAGGAACTGCCAATGTGCCTCTGAACTGGCCGGCTCTCAAAGCACAAGATGAGATCACCAGTTGGACGCTGTCCATAAGATGAAAGCCAGAAGCAAAGCTTTTCCTGGCTCTGAGAGAGATTCCTCTGTGGGGTGCTCCTGAAGGGACCCTGCAGGGTAGCACAGCACCTTACAAAAAAAAAAAAAAAAAAATCCTACCCTTTTCATCTCCCTCCTTGAACAAGCTTCCTTCCCAGACCAGATGAGGGCTTAGAAAGAGGTAGAGGGCACGACACTGGAGATTATATCCTCAGGCAAAAGCTGGGGGTACAAATATTCTACAGAGACAAAGACCAACGCACAATATTTAAAAGAGAAGGGAGGGTATCAATCTTTTCACTCATGATGTGCACCACTCCCTTTATGCCTAGAAAGCCCTCCCCATGTCCCAAGATCAAATACACGCTCACAGATGCTTTCACCTAGTTTTCTGGGGTGGGGGCATGCAGACACATGTGTGGGTCCACATTTTTACACTGAATTTTTTTATTGAGGAATCTTCAACAGTTAAAAATTATATATATTTCAGATGCACACTTTGATGATTCGATACACAGATAGACATATTGCAATGAAATCATCTCTGCAGTCAAGCTAACTCATCTCGGAGGGTGATGGGTATGTGAATGAGCTTGAATTCTTTCCTTTTTTCTTTTTTTGGTAGCAAGATTATAGATATCCCCTCTTTGCGGATTTCAGGTACTACATTTAAGTCCTGAATCCACCTGCCATCTCTAGGTGCATGATGTGAAGGGAAACTCTGACAGCAGTAGCGTACACCAGGTACACTGAATCAGCCAGTGGTAGTATTTTCTTTGACTTCACAGTTTAGCGGGAGAGGGGGGTTGTGGGAAAACTTGGGGATAGAGCCTTTAAAAAGGTAACTGAGTTCAAATGAGGCCACAGGGCGGGGTCTAATCCAGCACAAGGGGTGTCTTCATAAGGACAGGGTCGTGTGCAGGCGCCCATGCGTGTGGGGACACAGGAGAAGCTGTCTACCATGCGAGCAGAGAAGCCTCGGAAGAAATCAACCTGTGGACACCAGGATCTTGGGCATCTGGCCTGCAGAGTTGTGAGGAAATAAACTCCTGTTGCTGAAGCCACTCGGTTTGTGGTTCTTTGTTAAAGAGGTCCTGGAAGCTCACACCGGGTTACTATTTTATATCAAATTTCTGTTAGCTGGACGTCCCTGCGTTTTGCCTTCCCTGCGAACTGTAGAACCAGTTTGTCAGCCCCCATGCCAGAACTCAAGCCGACTCTTACCTGCAGGCAAGGCTCCTGCATATGGGGGTCATGAATGCCTTTCAAATCTCTGATATATTTTTCTATGTGTTTTCAACTCTTGTAGAATGAACATGTTGTGCTTACTCAAGCTAAGGGAAATATTGACATTTTTCCCTTAGAAAGAAAGATACAGAATTTGATTTCAAGTGGCAGACTGAACACATTTCCCCACATCTCCACAGAAGCCCCACAGAAATAAAAACATAAAAGTACAAAGGAGGAATAAACCTATTATCTAGAAAAATGAAGGAAGGCCATCTGAAGAAAAAGTATTTCAACAAGTTTCTGGAAGACAAGTGGATGAGAATGCACTGGTGGGCAAGACAGCAGACGGATCCTTGGGCTAGAACATTCTGTGAGTGCTGCAGAGGGGCTCTGGGCTACTCTGCCGACCGGGACCTAGACTCAATGTTGGCACACATTGGATGGGGGGAGGGCTGAAAACAGGGGAGTAACTAAACTCTGTAGATGGGATGCCCACTCCAGGCAGATCTCCTCCCACCGCCCCCTCCCTGAGAAAAGGCAGAATACTTATCTCCAGTCAAAACTCAACCCTTCTCTGAGGAGACTGCATTAACCCTCGAGATAAATGTCAGTTATCCAAGTGTGGTGGGTACTGGTGCTCTCATCCTGAGAGGGGATGTAAGCGGGACAGCCGCCGTGCAACAATGGGAACCAAAGTTACATACGGAGAAAGTCACGCGGGAAGTCAGAAGGAGCTAACCACAACACGAGATAAACGAATAAACAAAATAAAATAAGCTCCTACTTGCCTAAGCCCCTGGGGCCAGATATTTCTGTCACTCGCAGCCAAATACAATGTGAACTGCTAAGAAAACAGAGTAGGAAGGGGTGTACATGAGCTTAGTCCTCCTCTCCTTAGAAAGTATTGCTGTCTAAATGCATTACTTGTGTTAACGCAAGGCATAAAGGTGGAGTAGTATGCACAGTGACGGAAATAATCAGCAGTAGAACTGGAAGCAGAAATGGCAGGCCATGGCTGGCTTTGGGGAGGGAGATCAAAGACACAGAGGGATGGAAGACTAGTGCCTCTCTTTGGAAGTTATGCTGTATCATTTTATTTTTCCCATATGCACTCAGGACTGTGACAATGAGCAGGCTTTGTCTGCTCAAATCTGACACTAGCCAAGCAGGGGAGGGCAGCATTGAACAGTGTTGGAAGTTGGAGCAGGGGAGCGAGGGGAGAGCAGCTTTAGTCTAGACAATGAGGCATCACATCTGTGGGAGAGATGGCTACCTGTCAAAAAAAAAAAAAAAGAAAAGAAAAGAGAAGCCCTTCTCTCCATAGCATTACATGTGGCTGCTTGGCCAGGAATTTTCCCAGCCTCTTCTACATCCAGGGTCCATGGCACGAGTTCTGGCCAATGAAATATAGGTATTGCATATTACTGTGAAGCCAGAATTGTTATCTTTTACCTTCCAGCAGGGAGAAGAGGAGGAGTCTGAGGCCCCAGGTGGTGACGGAGCTATGAGCTGGAAGGAGCCTGGGCCCCTGCATCTCCACCTGGCGAAGAGCCTGCCGAGCGTGTACTCCCACACTGGATGTGAGCGAGGAACCACCCAGTGTGCTAAGCCACTGCGACGTTTGTCAATGACGGCCACTAGCAACACTGCACCAAGACCACGTTGTCTGGGCTAACAACTCCGACAGCTGTGAGCCTGCCCTGACAAAAACAGAACAAATCACACACCTCTCCCTTCATGGAAACGGGCTTTTGTTAGCGCGAAGGAGAAAGCTGTTCAGAGGAACGGAGTGAGGGGCTGTAAAACCAATGTGAGAGATTTCCGTGGGCACCAGCTGTAGAAAGAGCATTATTAAACGGATTACATAGATCTTAGTGACAGTAATTTTGACCTCCTATAGGCACCGTCAGCTGTTAAACAGTAGGAAATGTTGATGACCTTGTTCTGATTTCCATTTATATTTATTCTAAATTGGACACCTCCGAGATTGTTTAAATAAAAAAGGGTAATTCACTAAGTGATGCTGACAGCTCAGCCCCTGTCTGCGGGGGAGGCCGCAGAGGCTCACTAGAGGCGAAGGGACAGCTGGGCTAGGCCCTCAGGCCTGCCAACGGCTCAACTGATGTACCCAGACAAGTCACTTCATCTCTCTGAGATTCAATTTCCCTCTCTGTCAAATGGGGTGTCACCTCCTGCCACCCTCCCTGCCACCACGAGGGAAACTCAGCATGTGACTTATCACTGTATAACTCCATTTATAGGAATGTCACATGGGGAGTCCATTTGCTTTGGACTTCTCACTTGTTCAGACCTGACTTCCCTATATCCAGTCATTGTTGATATCCAACATGATTCTTGGGGGCGCCTGGGTGGTTCAGTCAGTGAAGCATCTGACTCTTGATTTCAGCTCTGGTCATGATCGCAAGGTCATGAGATCGAGCCCCTCTTCTGGCTCTGCAGTGAGTGCTTGAGATTTTCTCTTCCTCTCCCTCTGCCCCCTCCCCTGCTCTCCTTCGCATGTGCTCTCTCTCTCTCATTAAAAAAAAAAAAAAAAGAGGGAAAAAAAGTGATTCTTTCAGGTCACAGAGAACCATACCAAGTCTAAACAAAATCAGAATTTAATGGCAGTCCGAGCTGGGAAGTCCAAGAGTGGGCTAGCCTCAGGCCTGGCTAGATTCCACATCTAACCAGGGTCATCAATAGGGGTTTTCACAGATGTCTTCAGCTAGAGAGTGGGTGAACAAATGGTACATCCACTGAACGGAACAGTACTCAGCAAGGAAGGAGGGCAAAGGATGGATGCACGTGGATACATTTTAAATACATTCTGCTGAATGAAAGAAGGCAACCACAAAAAGCCACCTACCGTATGATTCCACTTATGTGAGGTTCTAGAAAAACCTCGACTAGAAGGATGGAGAATAGGTCATAGACTACTAGGAGTACAGGCTGGGGAGGTCTGACTACAGAAAAAAAAATTTTTTTTAAGGACTGGGGTGAGGGTAACGGAACAGTCTTGGATCCTGGCTGTGGTGGCACTTACACAAAGCTCTGCAGGTGTCAAAAACTCATAGAACTATATGCCAAAAAGAGCCAATTATACTGAAAGTAAATTTTAAAAGTTGTTTAAGATGCATTTTTATCTGTCGCTCTGCTCCCTTCCATGGAGCTGGTTTCATTCTCAGTATGCACGGCACAGCATCAACAGCATCACTGGGCCTCCTGTCTTCCTTCCTTCCCATCCAACAAGACCACACTGCAAGGAGGAAGCCCACAGGGCATCTCCCTGGCCCTCATGGGTCACACGCCCATCCCCAAATCAATCACTGCGGCCGGTTCTGATTGGCTCACCCAAAGTCCTGTCTCTCTCCCCGGGAGCCTGCAGGTAGATGAGCTCCAGGCGGAGTATACTGTGGTGGTGCAGGGGGACCCCCCCAAAAACATCATCGGGGCACCATTTTGACAAGGACGAGGATATTCTTTGTTAGAAGCATCACAAAAATCCACTCGGTTATCCAAATGGAACAATTTCCTCCAGATGAAGGCTAATTTCTTTACAGCTAGTACCACTCTCAACAAGGTCGATGTTAAAAAAAAAATCAGGAGTACATCTGCGGTCACAAACCACACATTTCAGCGATCATGCAGAACGAATGAGTTTAACCTTTAGACTTTGACATACTCCATCTGAAACCCAGGTTGGGTCATGTGAACCCAGGACCCGCACAAAATCAACATCCACGGCAGGGCTGAAACGCTTACTTTAGAATATTGGGCCTTGGAGGTGAGCTCAGCAGGGAGGGACGAGACCACTAGACACTGGGCCCCAAGCTCAGAAGGGCCCGTGGCTGTTTCAATGCTCTGCCGTCACACTCCACGCCTCTGAAACTTTCGGGAGCTTGTCTTTGAACTTGAGCTTTGTAAGTGCAGAAGCATGGGACCAGGAAGCAGACACACAAGCTTGCTCGCCCTACGCTCCTCTGCTGTCCCTTGCTGCTCTGTCTGCACACTGTTCGCCGTGGCCCAGGAGCCCGGCATTCTGGAGGACCTGAGACCCGGGGGAGGTCAGTGAGAGCGGAAGCAAGCTCGGACCAGCGCGGTGATCAGAGATGCACAGGCAGCAACGACTGCAAAGCCCTACAGTGAGCCAGTCAAGCACAGACACAGCCGAGGTAGTTCTGGGCACAATTTTCACTGCGGTGGGGAGAACAGAAAGCATGAGCACGTATGAGCTAGGAAATACGACTGGTGTCGTTTTGAGGATTCTGCATGTGGGTTAATTGCTCTTCTGTTTGCATTTACAACTGGTATTGTGCAATCAAAAAATGAGTGGTACACCACTTTAACAGCATGGAAGATAAAAATCCTATGCCCACCTCAACAGATGAAGAAAAAGCATTGGACAAATGTAGTGAAACACCACTAACCTGGGCTAGCTCCGGTCAGTCCAAAATCATTCGTGGAATACCTTCCCTTCTCTTTCTTATTTTTTTCAATGCAGCCTACTCTTTGCAAACATGCAAAGTACCTAAAGGAAGGGAAACACATGTCTGGTCTTTGTGACTGGTCCCTAGAAAATCTGCTTTAATGAATTTTTAAGATTGTTTTTTAAGGTGGGGGTGCATGGGGGGCTCAGTCGGCTGAGCGTCCGACTCTTGATTTGGGCTCAGGTGATGGTCTCAGGGTCATGAGATCAAGCCCCACAAAGGGCTGATTCTCTCTCTCTCCCTACGTCCCCACCCCCCAGCTCGTGCACACACTCACTCTCTCTCAAAAAAAATAAATAAATAAAAACAATGTAAGTACTTTTGTAAGGGTTAAGAGTTTAAACAGCATGATCTCAGGGTCCTTGAACATCTCTCCCACAGTCCTATTGACTGTCTGGTTGCTTGACAACCCCATTTCACCTACTATAAAAAAAACATAATAATTAAAAAAAAAAACCTTAAGCCCATTTCCTGTCTGCATCAATTTCTCACAACAATCAAGCAAGTAAAGGAGCCTGGGGTTGCAGGGAGTGCAGCACAGCGATGAAAAGACATGCAGAGGGCGAGGCCTGCCTTTGAGGAACTTAATATTTTCCTTAAGAACGGAAGACAAATCTACATTTAAAACACTGGTAACAATAAAAGTAAAACGTGTATCGTTAACTTGCCGGACACGGGTTATATGTGTTGACGAATCTCAGAGGAGGAACAGATCAATATTGGTTGTGAAATTATCTCAAGTTTCCTATTAGTAGTATCCAGTGAATGAACTAGTGGTAGAAATAACAGTAATAACGAGGAGGTCTGCTGTGCCCACAAGGGCCCGGATGCTTCATGGGTATTAGCTCTTTACACCTTTAATCTTTACCTGAGTCTGTGAGATAGGGTAGTAGTCTCATATTGTTTTATTTTTAATATAATTCAGTAATTTCATAGTGTTGTTTCCATTTTATAAGTCAGAAAGGGAAGCACAGAGATGTCAAGAAACATGCCTAAGGACCCACAGCACAAAGACGGTAGAGTCTAAGCTCTGCTCACTGTCTTCCCTGCAGGCTCCTGGAACCCGTAGTACTTCTGATGGTTTCCTCTGTTTGGCTGCAGGGAGGCAAAGGTCTCCTTTTTCCCAAAGCAAATAAAGGCTCCATTATTGCTTTTGACTGGTAATACGGCCCAAAAGTCTGCTAGGCAAAACCCATAAAGAACGCAAGGGAAGGAATGGAAGCTTCCTCCCCACACTGGCCCCCGGGGTTGGGGGGAGGCCACTATGCAAGGAGCCTCTGTCATAGGTAAACCTGCTTCTCAACAAGAGCTCTGGGGGCATCCCAGTGGGGACAAAACAAAAACAAACAGCTCTCAGTTCCTCTTTCCTCAGGTTTAACTCAGTGTCTGGCAGTCAGCCTGGGAAGGGAGGGACACAGGGGTTTGCACTCCAGGAGGTGGAGGAGGGGGCGGGGGTCGCCGCGGGGTGCCTGCCCCCAACCCAGCAGCCCTCTGACCTGGTCCCCCTGCTCCCCTCTGCTCTGCCTGTGCGGGACCAGGGGCCTCGTGTGCGGCAACACTGCCACCTAGTGGCGGAGGTTGTCGCAGCTGTGTGACAGCAGGTGGTCGGATCCCTGGTTCCAGAGCCAAAATCCAGGCTTGGGGCGATTTGGGGAAGCGCGCCAAGGCACACTGCCGCTCCCCAACAGAATGCCCCTTAAACAAGCACGATGACTCCACATCACGGGACTCCTGGTGGCAAGTCACAGAACGCCCAGCACAGTTTCAGGAAGAAGCATGTCCCTTCCTCCAGGAGGCCCTCCGCCACTGTGCCCTGGGAGGAGGTGGGCGTGCACCCCAGAGAGGGGACCAGGCGACCTTGCTCGCACCCATGGCCTGCCAACCGCCAGCAATCCTGCTCCTTTCCCCCTGAGGAATTACAAAGAGCAGGGGAAATAGTTTGGGCCCAGATCGGTGGCACCCTTCCAGGGAAATCTGGCGGTTTATATGAAAAGGTCTTTCCTTCCTTTATTTCCTATGCATTCGGTCCAGGAGGAAATCCCCTCCT